TGTGTGTGTGTGTGTGTGTGTGTGTGTGTGTGTGTGTGTGTGTACACATATTAATTGGGATGACTTACAGGCTGCAGTCCAACAGTGGCTAGCTGCGAATGCAAAATCTAAGAATCTAGTGGCTGCTCGGTCCCAGGAGACTGGGCGTCTCAGCTGGAATGGATGTGCTGACAAGCTGAGGGTACACAGGGGAAGAAGGAACCCCTGCTTCTCCCACTGTCCATATATAGGCTCCCAGCAGGAGGGGCAGCCCCGATTAAATGTGTGCCTTCCAAGCCTTAGGGTCTGCATTGAAGGCATGTGTCATCTTGCCTCAAGATCGAGATCACAAGTGTGCCCTCCATTTCTGGAATATAGTTCATTCCAGATACAGCTGACAAGCAAGAAGAGCCGTCACAGCTGCCCCACACCAATCTCTAATTAAGAAAATGCACCCCAGGCTTGACCACAGGCTCATCTGGTGCGACATTTTCTCAACTGAGGTTCCCTCTTCCCAAACGACTCTGAATTTACGCCAGGTTGAACAAAAACACTAACCAGCACAGATAGCCATGAAGAGGACACTAAGTATCAGCCTCTGGCCTCCATACATGCCTGTGCACACACACACAGAAACATATACACAGGTATTCACACACACTAGAGAATAAACACATATACAATAAGAAGAAGTAAAAGCGAGGACAGCAGGCCAGGTTCCTGTGGCAGAACACCTGCCAAGGAGCTGCCAGTGAGGAGCCTGGGGCAGGGGTCAGCACCAAAGTGCCTGCCTGGCATGCCAGATTGGGTTCAAGCCACCATATCGAAAACAAACAAATAAAACTCAAGCATAAAAAGTCCCCATCAGCCAGGCAGTGCTGGCACACGCCTTTAATCCCAACACTTGGGAGGCAGAGGCAGGTGGATCTCTGTGAGTTCGAGGCCAGCCTGGGCTACAGAGTGAGTTCCAGGAAAGGCACAAAGCTACACAGAGAAACCCTGTAGCACGAATCTTACAAGGTCTTATTAATAGAAACAAACCTGAGCCAGGTATTGGGGTGAACACTGAGAGATCAGAGAAACAGAACCAGCCACAGCTAACCTCACCTCGCCAATTCCTCCGCTGATTTTGTTTCCTCAAACTGGAAGCCCCTGAGTCCTCCCTCGTCAGGAACGAATCTGAGCTGAACTGCTGCTCAAAAGCCTAAAAGCTTAACCAGGTTCTAGTTCCTGGTTTTCTCGCCTTATATATCTTTCTGCTTCCTGCCATCACTTCCTGAGATTTAAGGCGTGTGTCACCATGCCTGGCTGTTTCTAGTGTGGCTTTGAACTCACAGAGATCCAAATGGATCTCTGCCTCGGGAATGCTAGGATTAAAGGCATGTGTGCCACCATTTTCTGGCCTCTATATCTAGTGGCTGTTCTGTTTTCTGACCCCAGTAAGTTTATTAGGGTGCACAATTATTGGGGAACACAATATCACCACAAAACCCTGTCTCAAAAAACCAAAAAAAAAAAAAAATACCCATCAAAGGTACCTTTCTTCTCTGACTCCTCCGTTTGGGACAACAGAAGGATGGAGTTGCTGCGAGTGGACATCATGACATCTGCCAAGTCTAGAATGTGGGGCAGTTGAAATACAAAAGGCCATTTTTCCTAATCCATTTGTACCGTGGAGAAAAAACAAAAACCAAGCCAGGTGCTTAGCAAGTGTGCACAGCTGATTCTGGGCTCAGAGATCAGCAGGGTTCTCTGTAGTTCCCTGACACCCACTGTTCAAAAGCCACAGGGAAAGCCAGGTATGGTAGCTTAAGTCTGCAACCCCAGCTAGGAGACTGAGGCAGGATTGCTGAGAGTTTGAGACCTGCCTGGGCTACGGAGGCAGACCCTGACTCAAAGGGGAAAAAAAAAAGCAAATAAAACACCCAACTGCAAGTCCCTAGGGGTTTAGAACACTTCTTCACTGTGTGGTATGGACATTGTACTTCCATCTACCAGAATGCTTTGTTAGTGTTATGAAACTAAAAAGACCCATTGTCCCTCAGGGAAGAACACCCCTGCCTTAGAGTTGTTGTTCCAACCCCCTAGTTCTGTGTTCAGACCAGGGCTGTGCTGGTAAACACCAGCACCAGCTCTTTATAGACAGGACCTGCCAGCAGCTTTGGATCTCAGGAGCATACTCTCCCTGCGTGGTTCACCTGAAACTACCAACATGGGATTTGGGGATGTGAGAAATGAGCTGCACAGAATATTATCTAAAGAGTCTGAGGACATGCTGGCGTGGATGGCGCACAACCTTAATCCCAGCACTCTGGAGGCAGAGGTAGGCAGAGCTGTGAGTTCCAGGACAGCCAGGGCTACACAGAGAAACCCTGTCTCAAACAATAACAACAACAAAATGAGGCTAGGGACAGGGCAACCAACAGTATGGAGTTGCCTCGGTGTATGAGAGACAAGAACTAGGGTTCAGAATACTAATCAGGCATGGGAACCACCCAAATGTCCTTGGTTTGAGATATGATGGTGTATTCATCTGTAAACGAGCTTTTAGGGAGTCCTCCTGCCTCAGTATCCCAAGGCTGGGACCACAGATTGGACTATACAGCATTTCATTTAGATCTTGCCTGTGCTTGGCCGTTATAATACTGATGCCACGTGCCCCACTGAGCTCTGTGCTCAGGCCCCAGATACAGGCTCAAGTGATGCCGAGAAAGTGGGAACTGCTCTACCACTCTCCCTGCCCACAGTTACCACAGTCCCCAGACTCGACTTCCTGAGCGCCTTCTCTGTTCACTAGGCCTTCAGTTCTCTCAACAGCACTTACTACGCGCTGGGTACCATGGGAGCAGGGCAGGAGATCTCTGACTTAGGAAACATGAGCAGCCGGCTGGTGGTGGGTGGTGCACGACTTTAATCCCAACACTCAGGAGGCAGAGGCAGGCGGATCTCTGTGAGTTCGAGGCCAGCCTGGGCTACAGAGTGAGTTCCAGGACAGGCACCAAAGCTACACAGAGACACAGAGAAATCCTGACTCGAAAAACCAAAAAAAAAAGAAAGAAAGAAAGAAAGAAAGGAAGGAAGGAAGGAAGGAAGGAAGGAAGGAAGAAAGAAAGAAAGAAAGAAAGAAAGAAAGAAAGAAAGAAAGAAAGAAAGAAAGAAAGGAAGAAAGAAAGAAAGAAAGAAAGGAAGAAAGAAAGATGAGCAGTGCCCAGCCTGTGTACTTCGCTTGCTGCCTGTGTTGAAGAGCAGGGGAAGGCAGGAGACAAGGAGTGGCCTTGGCCGTTCCTCTTTACAGGTACAACATCATAGCAACTCCATCAGTACGTATTCAATAACAAGTGTGTGTAGTACTGTGACTTTGTACATGACCATCTGATATTCTGTAATACAAAGGCATGGAGCACTGACTTGTACTAGTGTGTGATGAACCTTTTAAACAGGGTGCTTGCCACACCCGCGACGGTGTCGCCCGTTGTGACAAATGCCGATCTGGTGGTCTCACGAGGAAGCCCCCCCCCCCCCCGCGGTCCCCTGGCAATCAGCCAGAACAATGGTTCCTGGATACATTGTTCCCTAAAGACCAGCCTTCCGTGGATGGTTGGCAGGACTCAGGCTTCTTTCTTCTTTCCTGACAATAACTACCTCCCTGTGCCTGGACTCCCGCAGACGCTCGCTGGACGTACCTGATAACTCCTCAACTCTTACACCGGCACCGCCCCCAGGGACTCAAGCCCTTGGGCAGATAGCACAAAAAAACCCTACTTCAGTGGGGGCACTCATGGATGGATTAGAACAGAAAGAGCTAATGATTCAGGTTCCCACAGATTCTAAGGAAGAAAATGTAAAAGTAAAAAGATGGTTAGGTAACCCTCACTCAGCTCGTGCAAACTCACAAGAAGGCCAGATCGAGCTGAGCTGAAAAAGTATAGCAACTCCCCGGGAGAAGCCACGCCCACAAACGAAAGCAGGGGCTTTGGGTGATGGACCCCTCCAGCTCGCTCCTGCAGCTCCTCCTGCACAGTCTGGGAAGCCCCATCCTTATCTCTCTCAAACCCCACTCTCTCAGAGAACCTCCAACAAAGAAAAGGCACCCAAAAGCCCAGTTCTGCATTCTTGGCGGCTAGGGCGGCCCCTCCCCTGAAGGTGCCAGCCACCCGAGTCCCCGCCGAAAGCGCTCAGCTTTTGACCACACTTGGGCACAAACCCAGCTCGTGGTGGACACACCATGACCCCTCACCTACTGGCTCTATAAGCTCCCAGCTTTAGTTCAGGAATGCGGCCTCTCTGTCCTCAATCTCTGAGACAGAAGAACCCGCTTGGGGGTTGCTTTGCTCAAATAAACCTGTTGTTCTACTTTTTCAGTTCAGCTTGACCTGGCTTACGGCGGCGCTAAGGGAGAAAGCTGTTATGGGAGACAAGCTGGGTTTGTGCCCCCAGAATGGCCGAAAGCTGAGTGCCTTAGGGGTGGGTGGGTTGGTGGCGGGGAAGACACACTTGGACAGCTGGCAGCATCGGGGAGGAAGCTGCAGTAGCCCCTGAGCATGCAGGACTGGGCTTTGGGGCAGCTTTTCTTGGTTCGCAGACTCTCTGAGCAGGCAGGGTTTGGAGAGATAGACAGGAATGGGGCTTCCCAGTTCATGCAGGGTCGAGCTGGAGGTTCCAACGGCACAGATGCTGCTGTCCAGTTCTGCTGGAACAGAAGGCCAAGCCAGGCCAAACCACAGAAACATGCCGAGGAGGAAGAGCACCAGGGAGGGATGACCGGTAGGCACCGGGCTTTCTTTGGGGAGTGTGAAAGGGAAAAGTTCTAGAATCTAAAAATGATGGTTGCCTGACATGAATGTACTAAAATGGTTGCACTTAGCATTTTATGATCATGAATTTTTGCTCGTCGGTGGGCCGGTCAGTGGTGGTGCACACCTTTAATTCCAGTACTTGGAAGGTAGAGGCAGGAGGATCCCTGTGAGTTCAAGGCCAGCCTGGTCTACAAAGGGAGTTCCAGGACAGCCAGGGCTACACAGAGAGACCTGTCTTTAATCCTGAGTGCTGGGGTTAAAGGTGTGCGCCATTGCCTCCTGGCAGTAATTATTTTTATGATATACAAATTTTATCTCGCCGGGCGGTGGTGGCACACACCTTTAATCCCAGCACTCGGGAGGCAGAGGCAGGCGGATCTCTGTGAGTTTGAGGCCAGCCTGGTCTACAGAGTGAGATCC